ACTAATCTGAGTTTAGTAGCAGAAAGTCTGGATATCTTGGCTGGCAAACAGGTAAAAGTTACTCTTGTTTACTTGTCTTGTTAACACCCTCCTGCTCTAGTGAATGACTGAGATGGATGATGTACAGTTATTTGTGTCTTTCAGAGTAACCAAAATATAAAAGACCAACTGCATGGGGAAGCAAAAGATCTGCAAGACATCCAGACAGAGATCACGTCTCACATTATGCCTTTGCTGGTGTGTTAACACAACACAAAAGACAGTACTCAGAATTTAAATTCCAACTGAATGTGACATTAACATTAGGAAATAATGAATATAATCACAAAGTGTTCTTGACTAGTTTGTATCAGTTTGGCATACCATGACCTACATCCTTTTCCTCTTTGCAGCTGGAACTGAACACCACTGTTAAGAATCTCAGTGCAGTAGCGTCTCAAATCACTGTAAGTAAACACTAGAGTCATCATATGTGCCAGTGAGTATTCATACAATATAGCTATATACAGCAGAGTCTTCTTTCTGACTTGCCAAAACTACAGTATATCAGTTTTTAAAAGAATTTAATTAAAGGGCCCCATGAAATATGATGTTTTGCTACTTGCTGTTATTGCAGGTGGTATTAGGGAGCATTTGAAATGGTGTCATTGTTTAGAAGTTCACTAACAAATACAGTACTGTTCAGCAAGGATGCATTATATTGATCAAAAGTGACAGTAAATACTTTTATATTGTTACCAAAATTTCTATTTCAAATAAATGCTATTCTTTTGAACTATTTGTTCATCAAAGAATCTTGAAAAAAATAATCATGGTTTCTTCAACATTTCTTCTCTTTATTCATTTTATAGGCAGCTGTGGAGAATGTTCTCAGAAAAGTTGGCTCTGCTCAGGACGTCCTGAACTACAACATATCACAAATAGTGAAAACTGTGAGTGTTGTACAATCAATGCTATATTTAGCTAAATCATCTGTCAGGATGCTTACTGTATTACAGTGATGAAAAAAATCTACTGTGCATTTTATAATAACTGTACACTTTTTTCTGCAGGAAAGCAGGGCATTCATAGACTGCCAGCTGGAAATCTTTCTGACATTTGTTCACTGGGCAAATCAAACGGTATGTTTGTCTTTATATTCAAGGTGCCGACTATCTTGATGATGAATTACCGTAATATCATTGTGTTGTACTCTGAATCAGATCACAGAGAAGGTGGGTCGTTGTGGGCCTGCAGCTGCAGCAGTAGACAGATCAGAGGAGCTCCTCTGTAAACACTTGGTGGAATCTTTGGTAAGAATCCTTCACCAGCTCTAGCTGCCTCTTTTTTTCTTTTTACAATGCTTACAGATTTGTAAGTGCACATGGTTCCCATCTAATAAACCCTTAACATAATATCCCGTCTGTTCCCCAGAACGCCTTTTGGTTGAGTTTGGGCTGGTGTATGATATTCCTGATCCCCAGCATAATTTTCTCAGTTAAACTGGCCAAGTACTACCGCAGGATGAAGTACTCAGATGTTTATGAGTAAATGATCCTATTTGTTTTCTAAATGTAGAAGCGAATCATGGAAAAGTCTACTGTTTACCTACTGTCATGGATCAATTCAAATGGTTTCCTTCTGATTTCTCTCTTTAAAGGAACAATAACTTCATGATGAATCCTTTCCCAAAGGCCCACCTCAAACCTGAATTATTGGAAATGGAAAAACAACCACCTTTTACATATGTACATAATTAAAAGTGACCGTTAAGTTTGATTTTCACACACTGACCCACATCTCAAAAGAATCAAGTAGACAATGATTGTAGGAAAAATAATGCCAAAGTAGCTTCTGAGTACTTTGTGTCAAATGATTTTAGCACTTAATATTTAAATGAAAAGCACAACTTTACTGTTACAACTGTAATATGTTTTCTATTATAAGGCAATAATGGGAGTTTAGAAAGCACTTTATTTGGTCCTGTAGGCAATGAGATTTATTTATGCCATTTTTTCAATAAGAAATATGGGTATGCTGTTATACTGCTGGCATATATTGTATTTAAAAACAACTGTTCTAATAAATAATTTAGCTCATGAATACTGTGAAGACTGTAACTGTATAAGCCAACTAACCTCTTTTTGAAGTGGTGCGGTCTGATAGGTGGAATCTGAGGCCTGTTAAACATTTCTATCTCGTGTCATGTATTAATTACAATCATAATAAAAGGTGCTTACACTACCATGCTGAACCTGTTTGTTTGCTGTAAAGAATCGCTTGCCACAGTCTGTCCAGACGACCTGTCTAGAAACCCTATGTCCTGTGACCGAGGCCTCACTGACTTTGCAACAGTGTGCCAATCAGGATGAAGTACTAGAGTAGTGGAGTACACATTCCACACATATCTGTACTGCTTGGGGGGTGGGTGGGGGGTAACAGAAATCAGACAACAGGATTTATTCAGTTTGACACTCTGAGCAAAACATTAAATATCCAGAAAATATTGTTGTATGGTAGTTTTCAAAAACACTGAGATCATGTAGCATGAAAAAGGTTCATTTAAAAGTATACCAGACCATTTCTCGATATTAGAGCTCACTCTTAGCATTCGGATTAGTAAATACTAGAGATACTTACAGACATGCACTACAAAGGCAGGCACACCTGCAAAACCACACAACTGGTCTTGAAATCATGTAAATTTAAGCCGTATGCATGTTCATGTTATGTGTACACTACCATTCAAATATTTGGGGTCATTAATAATTTTTTAGAGAAATTAATACTTTTATTCAGCAAATTAAATTGATCAAAAATGACAGAAAATAAAGACATTTAGAATGTTATAAAAGATATGTATTTCAAATAACTGCTGTTTTTTTTAACTACCCCAAAACTTTTTGAACAACCCCAAACATTTGAACAGTAGTGTATGAAGTGGATGAGAAAAATGATTAAACTATGCAAGGCCGAAGGCCCGATTCTTGGAAAAGGTTACAGAACTGAAAAAAGTTCATTGTAAGGAATTATCTGATTGCAAAATAAGGAATTATTATGGAGTAGTCTATTAAACATGTCCATGGGTATTAACTTATGTTTTACAAAACATATTTTCTCACTTTTTTTTTGTTTTGTTACGTCAAATATTCAAATACACTGAACAAAATTATAAATGCAACACTTTTGTTTTT